ATATATATATATATATGTATATATATATGTATGTATATATATATATATGTATATATATGTGTATATGTATATATATATATACACATATACAGATATACATATACATATATACATATACACATATACAGATATGTATATACACATATACAGTGGATACATATAAATATACACATATATATACATATATACATATATACATACATATATATTATGAAAGAAACAAACACGAAGGGTATACACGAGTGCATGGAAAACTTTCTCATCTAGTGTTCTAAACCATCAGTTTGAATCACTTGTATGTTATTGTATGATGATAACATTTTGCCAAGAACTTTGGCAGGTGAAGACCAGGTCCTCCAATATTTCCACTGAACCAATACGGAATCCAGATGATAGTGAGATTGATTTCATTCCGATACTTCGTTCTGGTGCATGGTCAGACATTGGTATCCGCCCCAGCATGGAGGATGTCTATGTTTGTGCTGACAATCTGATGCTTGATTATGGGGTTAAGAAATCCAACGAAGGACCTAATGCATTCTATGGGGTAATTCTTCTCCTCTTACACAAGTATAGGTGGTTTCTTAATGCTGATTAAAATGTTATTGTTAGTGATTTCTCATATCTACCTTGGATCGTGAGTACTTGAAGTAGAACATGGTTTCAATAAGTGATTAAATTGGTTCTTATGAGTTCGGGACACTGCTCCTTTTGAGAAATTTTAAGCAAGTACACAATGCTTTTCTTAACTATTTCTTATTTTCTGAAATTACTTGGAAGTACATTTTGCATTACTGGCTTTGTTTAGTTGCATTTGCTCTAGAACCATTTGTAGTCCAAGATGTTATGTTATAGTTCCAATTTACTGGCTGCATTCAAATATATAATCCCAGGATTCAGAAAGTGGAATATTTGAAGCAATGGAATTGTTAGATATGCCTTACTTACTCTTTGTATCAGATAAGTGTGGAATTCAGTACAATGTTTCCCTTGATTTTGCCAGGTTTTTGATGGACATGGAGGAAAGCATGCCGCTGATTTTGCATGTTACCATTTGCCAAGGTTCATTGTTAAGGATGAAGATTTCCCTATGAAGATTGAGAGAGTTATTGCATCAGCATTTCTGCAAACAGATACTGCTTTTGCAGAAGCTTGTTCATTAAATGCTGATCTTGCTTCTGGTACCACTGCTTTGGCAGTTGTTGTAGTTGGAAGGTTAGAGTTCTTATAATTCCTTAAATAGGAACTTGGTGGATGGGCTTTTGAATCATTTCAATTCTAAAATTCCTTAACTTTAGAATATGGCTTATTGGAGGTCTAGCATTATCAAAATTCGTTCCATTATTAA